TCCGGGGCAGGGGTTGCTGTCTATTGTTTTCAGCAAAACCCGCCCCTTTCTTCAGTGTCGTCCCCCTTATGACCCACTCAGAGTTGCTCCCCGTTGGCCGTACACGTCCGGACCGCCTGCGATGACTTTGATGATCACCTGGTTCAGTGTTTATTGTCTGACGTGTGTCAGTCCGAAGTTGAGACTCCGGGGTCTGTGGGTGTCCCACGTAGCCAAGGGCTCCGCCACCCCTACACCCTCTCCCGTTCCACCAAAGTAAAGGGACCGCCCAACACGCGTGTCCCTCGTCAGTTTGTTAACACAGATTCCACAACGGAAAAGGTAAATAACAACACAAAGTTAACAGCTAGGGTTTCTCACCCACTGGGGAGCGGCCTGAGCACTTTGCTGGCCCCCTGGGTATCTCCCTGTACACTGTGGGTGTCGGTGCCCTCCCTCAGGTGCTCCTAGGGCCTTTCAGTCCCCTTCCAGGCTCCCTGGGGACCCTCGAGCCCTTTAGTCACTGTTGAGGTCCATTCACCTCTTCGCCGTGCTCTATTAAGGTAAATACGGTTCCCGGCTCCCGGACCCGCAGCGGTTTCCCTTACCCCGGAAGACCCGGCTTCGGTGCTGGGCTGCTTCCCTTCGCTCCCGAGGGTTCCAGCCGGCCTTTCCTCCGCTGCTGCTTGCTTCCAGTTCCTCCTTGCCAGCAGCAGCCGGCATTTCCTTTATGGGGCCCCGAGCTGCTGCGAGCCCCTCCTCCTGGGGACACCTGCGGAGGGTAAGTAATCCGGCCCTGGGACTTTGTGCCGCGGGGCGTACCGCGGCTCTATTAGCGCCACGGCGTGGGGTTTTAGGGCACATCGGCTCCTCTCCTCCCCCACAGAGATGAACTCGAGAACATCATACAGTGCAGTCACATCTGGTTAAAGCAGATTTATTTTGTAAATGTCTCTTTTGTGCATTGTCACAGGCTTAGATGATGATATTGTACACCTGCTGTAGATGCATAGGAATTAGTGTGTCTGGTCCATCTGGTCCTGTGTCCCCTCTTTCACAGTAACTAGTACTATATGCTTCACAGAGACGAACATGCGCAACACCCTAAAAAAACCCAAATACTTATGAACAATTAGGAACCAGCCTAGTTAAATGGGAAATTTCTTCTAAGCCATCCACTCAGGAGCTTAGTTTGTATCCTAAAACATCGCTGGTTATACCCTAGGGTTACCATATTTCCAGGTCAAAAAAGAGGACACCTGTCATGTGAGAGGAGGGCAGGGGGGAATATGATGGGGGAGGCAGTGACATGCTGGTGCCCTGCCCCTACCCATTCTGTTGCCCCTCACTGCCAAGCCATAGCCCCCCTCCCCCCAGCCCTGCTGCTACCCCTCACTTCTGACCCACTGACCTGGGCCCCGCCAGTGCCCCTCACTCCCAAACCACAATACCTAGGCCACCCTAGACCACGATGGTGCCTTTCACTCCCAAGCTGCAGCCCCCCCCACTGTCCCTGGTGGTGCCCCTCACTCCCAACCTCCTGGTGCGGTGCCAGTGCCCTGCACTTCCAACTAACCCCTCGCCCCCCAGCCCTGTTGGAGGGGCCCCAGCTGTTCCTGTCTTGATCAGGTCAGAGATGTCAAATGTCTGGGATTTTGCTTTGCTCTGCTGGTGGGAGCAGGGAGGGGGCGATCTGGAGCACCACATGGGTCTGCATGCTCCTCTGCAGGTGCAGGCAGGTACGCCTTTGTTCCCTGTTACCTCTGATTGCCCTCCTCCTGCTCCCACCAGCAGAGCAAAGCAAAGTCCCAGAGATTTGGTCAGATCTAAAAAACCTACCCAGACAGAGATCAGAGGGCTCAAAAAGAAGATATCTGGAAAAACCTGGATGTATGGTAACCCTATATAATTTTCACCTATTTAAAACAACTCTCTGGTGGTTTATGGAGTTAACCTTTTCTTATGTTCAGGTCTGTAGTATTTTAAAGAGATACTGTGTCATTCTGGAGATTTCCTGACTTTCTGAAAGTTTTTGTCATCATATGGAATTGGTTTCTGGGTTTTTTTCCATCTGGTTGCAAGTGATATTTTTAATTTTTAATTGAAATAGATTCATCGTTACATTTCTCCATTTTTCTCACTTGGCTTGTTTCACTTCACAGCAATTTGTATATGATCACTTTAAATGTTCCCTGTATAATTAGTCAAGTTTCTTTTTCTTTATTTGAGTCTTTCATATAGCAAAAGGGCAGGAAAGTAATTTTAAAGGATGGGGAAACAAAATAGTAAAGGGGCGAAAATTATCAGGAGAAGCTGATGGGGCAGTTGTTTACCTCAAACTCTACTTATCAAGTAGATTTTGATGTTGCATTTTTGTTTCCTGGGCATATTTTTCAATTGTGGTAAAATGTTATATCTCACTTTTTCTTGACACCGTCAGAAGTATCAGAAAAGAGTATGCAATGTAATACTTAAAAAAAATAGGAAGACTTTTACTCACTCATTGATTATTTATCTTCCTGTACGTAAACACTGTTTTAGCTTGTCAGTTAAGTAGAGAATGATACATTTGTGTCTTTCTTCCTTAGTGACTGTGAATACTTTCAAAAACAATATAGATACTCTCAATTTCAGTACTAGAATTTTCCCTAACAATTTTTAGATAGACTTTGTCCCAGACTATGTTATAAAATACTTACTTGACTAAAAGACAAGGTTTTCCACTCCAATCAGCAGGGGCAGGGGGGCGGGGAAGGAAGCTCCTTGTCTTACATTTCTGTACATGGAAACCTCATTAAATACATTGTCTATCATTATACTGCTGCTAAAAGCAGCATGTGCTCAGCAATGGAAACTAGCTGTGAAGTAGATTAAATGTAGCCAACACTGTGCATGACTATAAAACACATGGCCTATATGGGACAAGCATACTGATGGAAACTACCACAAAAATAAGTTAGTGCAGCCCATCTGGGTAAGATGCATGGTATTAACCTTTGCATGCATTTCCCCTCAACACCAACTCTAAAGTCATGGTGAACCACCACACTGAATACACTTTACTTTTTCTTCACCCCCACAATTGAGCTGCACCTTTCTTTTCTGTTTCCAGTGATTCCTGTTTCTTCACCAGGCTTAAATGTCTGACAGACATCACTAAACAGGGCCTCAGACAGTTCATTTAGAATCCGTTTTGCCTCCTCTCTCAGCCTGTTGCGCATGATTAGTGTGGCCCTGCCCTCCATGAAGTGGAACCAGACTAGGTTACCCTACACCTCATTTGCATATAAAAGTTTGAAGGATCTCAGAACTTGTGATAACACCTGTTTCCTGTCATAAGCGGATGGGTGGGGATTATTAGCACTTGAATCTTTTGTAGGGGGTATCTGAAGTACACACAAACTGAGCAATACTGAGCTGTGGGATCACCATGGCTTGAAATGTTGTTTGTTTACTGTGGTGGGGCCCAACCCAGTGAGCCATATGGTAAATTGAATCTTTTAGTTTTGGGCTAATATCATACATACTTTGTATTATGTATAAGTAGGTGCTGAAGTGCTACTTAAAATGTGTTTATGGAGTACCTGTGCTAAAAATTGCAGCAGTTTCAAAAAAACGTAAAATATGTGAATTCTGGATGAACTATCAATATGACATGCAAATTACTACAGCTATATTTATTTAAGTCTTTTTTTTTCAAATTTGCTTCTCATTTCTATCTGCTTAGAGAGAGGAGGGTTGAAAAGTAAGGAGGCGGGGAAGGAGCTGCAGGAGAAAGAAATTGAGGGGGTTAGAGGGCAAAGGGGCTACCTGACCCACCAGATTTATATTCCCTTCTGTAGCAGTGGGAAGGGGACAAATTCAAGACAGATACCTAATAATTACATTCTATATTTATACATTTTCCATATATAGAATCTAATTATTAGGGGGTGATTTTATAATCGAGGTTGTCTTGTATTCGAGTAAATGCAGTGGTATGAGAGAAGGTAGTATGTAATAGAGAGTAATGTTGTTCATTTAGTCTTGAAGTTTAAAGCATTTGTTCATAATGAAGTTGGGGGGATAGAGAATTTGAGGTGTAAAAAGAAAATAAGAAGTGATTCTTTATTGTTGAATAGCATTGTCAAGATTGATTCATTTTTTTTAGATTGCTGATTTTAACAATATCTTTTTAAGCTATAAAGAGAAATAGGACTCCTGATCTATAAGAGAAATATAAATTTACTTTATAACAAATGTTTTAGCAAATATAAATATTGAAGAATATAGTAGTTAAAAACAGAAAAGATTAAGATTATGTGAAGCATAAATTTATGCTACCATTTAAAAAATTAAATGGTAAAAGATAAATCAGAAGAGATTAGTATTTTGAAATTTGGCTTTTATGGTCAGATCTCCATTTCCTAGATTTGCTTCTCTAACAGATGGTCCTAATTCTTATATAAAAAGTTTGAGGTTTGAGTTCCAAAAGTAGATACACATTTTTGGTTTTGTCTGCTCAGTCAGTTTTAAATTTTACACAGGTTTGGTTTATGCCTTTTAAAGTAGTGTCTATTTGGTGTTTCTTCATACATTCTTCATGCTAAGACATTGAATTTGATCTGGCTAAAATTCATTCATTTTTTAACATATCTCTTAAGAGCATTGCCTATAAATCCAACATCTGTTAGAAATATGGAGACTGACTAGATTAGGTGCAGTACACAGCATTTTCAAAAAGGTTGGCTGTAGAGTCATTTTTAGCTGTAGTTCATATTATAACTGAAAGGTTATTTAGATACAAATGTTGACTGGTTTTCTTTTGCAGTTGGACATAGAGATGGAGGGTTGATTGATAGATGAAAAGTGGGATGTCCCACAAATTAGATGCACGGGGTGGAATATAAATCTAAATAATAATAACTGTAACAATAACATATATAAAAAATCTATAGAATGTGGATGACTTTTGATAGATTATTGCTTTGAAACAATTTGAATAACTCATCTTTTCTTTCTCCTTTTTCCCCACCTCTCAGGCTCCATGGTGTGTTGGATAAACTTAGATCTGTAACTACTGGTGAGTAAAGTTTGTCCAGAAGAGCAATAACTTAGCTTTGGAAATAGGCATCCATGCAGTTTTGTATGCATTCCATATACGCTTGGCAGGTATTTTTAAAGTTATTAACTGACTATCCTTAGTTTGTATGATTTTATATAGTTTATGTAAACTTAAGGGTCCTGGCCATTGAGAAAAATGTTGTATGGTACTTTGGCGTTTCAGAAAATGTGATTTTGCAAATGGATCTTGCTGCTTTTTTACATTGGAATCAAGTTGCTGCTGATGGTTAGTTCCTCATTCTTCTGTAGTTTTGAGGTTGCACTTGCTGCTTACATTTTACTTCTTAAATTTTATGTAAAGGTCAAATGTAACTTTCTCCACAGAACCAACTAGCCTAAAATCCTCAGAATCTAGCATCTTTGAGAGCAGCTTGCCTCCCAGCAAAAACAGTTCAGGTGGGAGTGATGAGAGAAGACGTGAGGAAATCTTACAGCCTCTTACAGTCTCCAACTCTCGGTCTGAAAGAAATGACTCACGAGTTTCAACCAGCTCACAAGAGCAAAGAGCCAATGCTGTACGGTACGTCTGCTAATTGGCAGGTACACAGACTACATGAAATATGTTACTCTTGTTATTCCCTACTGCCCTTTGAAACAATTAGATGGTGAGATCAGAACTAAGATATGGAACCTATTTCAGCTTCAAGAAGAAAACAAGTTTGCATAAACATCATGTTATACCAGGAAAGTTATCTTTATGCTGTTTCATGCAATAAATGTGCATAGTTTATCTACCAAAAGATAGAGGTTAAATCTGTCAGAATTCTTAAGGAATCAATTTTGTATTTTTCTTTCTTATCCTTACCTACCAAAAAGGTTTTTCCAATCTTTTTTTATAAATGTTTATTTGGGAATTAGTTAAGTATTTGCAACCTCTTCTTTCACCAGGCAGTCTTGTGAAGATGGATCTGCATCCCGCTTGATGTCAACAGTCAAGCCCCTGAGGGAGTTGTCACCTTCTGAAGCTGTGATTGACATTAAACCCGAACCAGATGATCTCATTGATGAAGACCTAAATTTTGTTCAGGAAAATCCATTGTCACGGAAGAAACCTATTGTAACTGTAACTTACGGCTCTTCTCGTCCTGCTGCTGAAATCTACAGACCACCAGCTAGCAGAAGTACAGATGCCGGCATGCACTTAAACAGATTGCTGCAGCAAGGTGGCCAACAGGGAGCCAGGCAGTTAGACATGCAAAGCTGCAGGTCTTTGGAGGCAATCCAGCTATGCAATCCAGAAGCATTTGGCAGCTTAGCAGAGAGTTACAGGCCTGCCTCCAAACTGAGTGCTGATAAAATAAGCAATGAGGTTAGTGTACAGATGTAAATTATATTTGTGCTTGACCCACATGCAACAAAGACATAGGCCACGTGTACACATGGTGTGGATGTTTGGTTCCTCAGAGACAACTAGCGGCAGCGCACCTTGCACTGCTGCTTCTTGTCCCCAGGGAACACCTGTGCCATGCATGCTCTTGCACACAGTGTGTTACCCTGGGGGCGGCAGGCGAGGCTGCAGGCAGCACTGGGCTGGCCCCAGCAGCCTTACCTGAGGACCTCACGGGGCTGCAGCAGTGGTGATTCTGCCACGTGGAGCCTGGCTGGCAGCCACAGTGCGGCTCTGGGTGCCCAGTTCCACTTTTGAGGAGCGCACGCTGCTGTGTGTGCACTGCTCCACTTTTATTCTCTGCAGGATTTTTTGACCCCTGGAAAGCACAGAAAACAACTGAACATGTGCCACATACTGCATAGCCACACTCGTCTGGACACGGCCATAATGGGCATCTACAGCTAAATCCTGCCTTCATGGAGGTCATTGGGAGTTTGACATTTATTTCATTTGGAACAAGTTTTTACCCATTGTGTTTCCCATCCCAAACTGATTGTATAATTTTTTAAAAATTGTCTCAAAAGTTGCTGACTAATTTGATAGAGCAGCTCTAGTTGGATGCTTTACTAATCTGGGGTATTGAAAGACCATATTTACTTAAATACCACATGCACCTTTTCCCCCAAAACCAGCCTCCCAAAACTGGGATGCATGTCTTAATCAGGGAAGCTGATTTCTATGCCAGAATGGAAGCTTGGGGGCAGGGGGATGGCTGTTCCACTTCTCTCTCCTGATTGCCAAATTGAGGGAGGAGCAGAGTCCACTCTTCAGCGTCACAACTACAACCACTGCCAAATTGGTTTCAGCTTTTGGCTGCTCAGTCAAAGGCTGCTGCCATTCAGCAGTGGCTATGAATGGCTGTGTAGATTTTGGCTAAGCAGCCAGGGGAAGGGTGAGTGACCTGAAGAGTATACTCTGCCACTGCCCCACGTGGTCAGAATTCATCCATGATTCTGGAAAAGTCTTTTGGTATGTGGTATGCAAGTGAATACAGTAAAAATGATGGTAATTTTGATCTCTAGACCATTGGAGTAGTTGTGGTCTTGCATGAGTTCTTTGCAGATCTGTCAAATAAAGACTGACACTAAAGGGTGAAAGAGCAAATACATCCATCTACTTGTTTATGTACATATTTCTGTATTTTTAATGTGCCAAGCACCTTGGTATCCAAGTTGCTTGAATCTTGGTCTTAAAAGCATTATTATTTGCATTTCAAATAATGAGCCATAGTCACAGACCAGGATGCTGTTATGCTAGACATTGTACAGACACAGATTAAAAGATGGTTCCTGTTCTACTCTCTTATGGAAGCCAAAATCCTTTTGACAGCTAGCTGATCATTTTAGGAGTATCCAGGTACATCTGTGACATCTGTGTGTATGAACGAAAAAGGAATAGCTGACTTTCAGGTTATTAGGGCTCCTAGCTTCTTAATGAAGTTTAATGTTTACTTAGGAAAATACAAGGAGTATGAATTATCCCCTTCCCAGCCAGGTTTCATCTTATGTTAACTCAAAAGGAGTTGACTTGCCTACAAGACCTCATTCTTTCTATTACTGTTAGTTGGACTATCTCTAAGTAACTCTCTTTTTTTGCTCTCTGCTATTTAATGTTTAACCATGGAAAATTGCCAGTAATTAAAGTAGCTGTTTTTTCACATCCTTTGAACTCGGGTTCTCAATGTTTTCTGTACACAGTAAAAAAAAATCTCAATGTCCTAGGTATTGTTTAACAGGAAGTTCACCATCTTTTCCCTTTCAGCAGAGTAATAATTTCTTTCCTTGTTTGTATATCTGCAAATCTGATCAGTGAATTGTTTTGACTGCCTGGTTAGTTGCAGGAAGAAAGCTCCAGGAAGAGAAAATTGCCAGTTATAAGTTCAGTGGTCAAAGTGAAAAAATTCAGTAATGATGGAGAAGAGGAGGAGGAAGAAGAAGACTGTGGGTTACGGATAGGAAGCATCTCCAGCAGTGTTTCTGTACCGGCAAAGCCTGAAAGAAGGTACTTGAAAATTTCTATGATCTCAAATTTTTCATTATCAGTCTAATCGGGAACAGAAAGCCTTGAGAGTTGATTTTCTGTGCCCCTCAGTGTTGCGATGGGGAACAAAAGTAAACACTGTTTACTTTCATTCCCACCCCTTGTCCCTCCCCCAGCCCCTCAGCAGCTTCCTGATAGCTGCTGAAGGGCTGGGGAAGGGACAAGGTTCCCACACGCACCGTGTCAGCTTGACGTTGCCGATGCGGTGCGTGTGGGAAGAGGAGTAGCCATGTGCTGCTTGGGACAGGATGAGCCCAGATGGAGCGGCAGCTGCACCTTCCCCCTACCTGTGCCGGTCAGTCCCGAGTGGCACCCAGCTCCACCGCCGCTTCTCCTGGCTGGTGCTGACCTGGGCAGGTCTGTCACTTCCAGAGCAGCACGCAGCTGAAGCCGGATTCCCACGTGCTGCTAGGGACAGGAGGAGGCTGACCAGGTCAGCACCAGCCAGCAGAAGCAGTGGCAGAGCCATGTGCCACTCGGGACTGACCAGCACAGGCAGGGGGAAAATGCAGCTGAGCCCCTGCTGCTCCGGCCGGGCTCATCCCATCCCGAGTGGCACACGGCTCCACCGCTGCTTCTGCTGGCTGGTGCAGACCGGGCCGGGCTCCTCCCTTCCCCAGCAGCACGTGAGGAGCTGACTTCAGCTGCATGCTGCTTTTCCTGGCCGGTGCTGACCCGGCTGGATCCGTCCCATCTGAAGCAGCATGTGGCTGAAGCCGGGTTTCCAGAAGCGGCTGGGGACAGGAGGAGGCTGGCTGGGTCTGCACCACCCAGCAGAAGCAGCAGCGGATGGGACGAGCCCAGCCAGAGTGGCAGGGGTTCAGCTGCATTTTCCCCCTGCCTGTGCCAGTCAGTCCCGAGCAGCACACGGCTCCGCCGCTGCTTCTGCTGGCCGGTGCAGACCGGGTCAGGCTCCTCCCTTCCCCAGCGCATGTGAGAAGCTGACTTCAGCTGCATGCTGCTTTTCCTGGCCAGTGCTGACCCGGCTGGATCCGTCCCATCCGAAGCAGCATGTGGCTGAAGCCGGGTTCCCAGAAGTGGCTGGGGACGGGAAGAGGCTGGCCGGGTCTGCATCACCCAGCAGAAGCAGCGGTGGAGCCGTGTGCCACTCGGGACAGGATGGGACGAGCCCAGCCAGAGCAGCAGGGGCTCAACTGCATTTTTCCCCTGCCTGTGCCAGTCAGTCCCGAGCAGCACATGGCTGCGCCACCGCTTCTGCTGGCTGGTGCTGACCTGGTCGGCCTCCTCCCATCCCCAAAAGCACGTGGGAAGCCAGCATGGGGGCCTTGGCAGGCGGGGTCATGGCATGACCTGCAGGGCAAGGCGGCAGGAGCCGGTGTCTGCTGGACCCCGCGTTCCGGGCTCGCAGCGCTGGGGCCACCAGGGCTGCGTACACGGGCGGCCAGACACCGTGGTGCGAGGGGCCGTGCGGGCAGGTGGGTGAGGGGCTGCGGTGCAGCGGCCACCTCACTTCAGCCCCCCTCAGGCAGCACCGGCTGGTGGGGATGTGCTGCTTGGGGGATGGGGATGTGGAGCTATTTATTTCTCCCCTTCAGTCTCTGGGGCAATAGCTGGCTGGATGCGGAATGGGTCCCTCCTGCCCCTGCCCACCAGCAGCTACCATGAACCTTGCAGTAACAGGCAGGTGCAGTTGGACTACACAGCCCAAGACAGAGGGTGTTTGAATATGGCTCGCCGGCGCACTGGGTGATTAAAAAGTTCATGATCCAGCCCCGCATTCAAAAAGGTTGGACACCCCTGCTCTGTAGAATCCTAGGGCAGAAGAAGCAACTGGCAGAAGCGTTACATCTGCTTACAGCCTCAAAGAAGTTCCTCTTTGAAAGGAATGTTTTTGTGGTGTATCTGCCATTTTCCTGGAACTCCAAATGGCCTGAGCATGTGAAAACATGCTTTTTGTAATGCTACAAGGGAGTTCATAGTGCTACATATGCAGCCTGTGTCCATACCCTTTGCTAGTTTAAATTGTAGCAGCTGCTGTATGCTCCTAAGCAACAGCTCCCCTTCCCTTTTTAAACAGTTAAAAATTGCATTTGTTCATATGCTGAAATGACCTTTTTCATGATGTTTAAAAAAGGAATGAGGCTGGGGATGTACTGAATTTTTACTAAGGATTTTGGTTCATTGCTGCCTGGTCACCTGGTCAATTGGTTGAAAACATTTCGATGGAAAAAAGGATTACTTAATCATATAAACATATCATTTGTAGAGTGTCATGATAGTGGATATTATGTCAGTAAAATGATAAACAAGTACCTACAACGGTCAGCTGAATTCATATATCTGCATAGAAAATTAATTGTATTTCTCTCTCTCTCTCTCTCTCTCTCTCTCTCTCTCTCTCTCTCTCAGACCTTCACTGCCACCTTCCAAACAGGCAAATAAGAATTTAATTTTGAAAGCAATCTCTGAAGCCCAGGAATCGGTTACAAAAACAACCAATTACTCCACAGGTAATGCATACTGTTTTTATGCTTGGCAAAGCTATGCTATTTCTACATCATATCTGATAAATCAGCATTAATGTATGGTGTTGCAAGGAAAATAAAAGTGTAATTTGAAACCTGATATAGTTATACAGCTTGATCTATGGAGAATTCTTTATATATTCTGTATCTGGCAATAACCTACAGAGAGAAATTCTGGAAATAGAGCATAAACAAAGAAGAAAAAGTGCTTAAAATACTTGAAATTAGAAGTGGTAGAGAAATGCAAAAAGGCTTCCCCCAGTGTTAGGAGCTGCACAGGAAAAGTCATATGTTCCAGCAGTAAGGGGCTTCTCTGGTGTAACTGCTAACATCTGGAACTAGTTACCTTTTAGTTTTTAACCCTTTTGACTTGTGAAATATGTTTCTGTTTGGCCAATTGCTACTCTTCACCTCCTTCACATATTCTCTTCCTGCTCTCATAAAAAATGAAGCTAAGTAGATAGCAATGAGGCAGACCACATGGGATTTATGAATAACGAAACCTGTCGAAACTCCATCAATGATGCTTCACTCATATTCCCTGAACTCTGAACATACTCTAGATAGGAGGATTATAACTCCATTTGAGTGGTTCATGGATACCTTTGAACAGCTGTCCAAATATAGGCATTAAGTTCTAGGAAAGGATTTAACAACAAATGAGTGATTCTTCCCATTCCTACCAGTGTCTGCACCTTTCCACTGACACATATGAGTAACTCACATATGATAGTACTGGATGTGGTCTACCTTGACTTTAGCATGGCTTTTGATACGGTCTCGCAGAACATTCTCACAGGCAAGCTAAGGAAATATGGGTTGGATGAATGGACTGTAAGGTGGATAAAAAACTGCCTGGATCATTGGGCTTGGAGACTAGTAGTCAATGGCTTAATGTCTAGGTGACAGGAAGCCAATTAGACATCAAGTGCCGTGCCCCAGGGGTCAGTCCTGGGACTGGTTTTGTTCAGTATCTTCATCAATGACCTGGAAGATAGCAGATGACAAAGCTGGGAGGAGTAGTAGATATGCTGTGGGGTAGGATTAAGATTCAGAGAGACTTAGACAAATTGGAGGACTGGACCAAAAGAAATCTCATGAGATTCAATAAGACAAGTGCAAAGTCCTGCACTTAGAATGGAAAAATCCCATGCACTGGTACAGGCTGGGGACTGACTGGCTAGGCAGCAGCTTTTGCACAAAAGGACCTGGGGGTTATAGTGGACAATAAGCTGAATATGAGCCAACACATGTGCCCTTGTTGCTGGGAAGGCTAATGGTATACTGAGCTGCACTGGTAGCACTAATGAGTCCTGATGCAGCACTGATGAGGCTACATCTGGAGTACTGCATTCAGGTTTGGGCCTCCCACTACAGAGGGGATGTGGACAAATTGGAGAGAGTCCAGCAGAGGGCAGTGAAAATGGTGAGCAGGCTGGGGCACGTAACTGCTGAGGAGAGCCTGAGGGAACTGGGCTGCTTTAGTCTGCAGAAGAGATTTGATAGCAGCCTTCAGCTACCTAAAGGGGGGTCCAAAGAGGATGGAGTTAGACTGGAACAGATTACCCAGAGAGGTTGTGGAATCTCCATCCTGGGTGGTTTTTAAGACCCAGCTAGCTAAAGCCTTGGGTGGGACAATCTGGTTGGGGATGGTCTGGCTTTGAGCAGGAGGTTGGACTAGGTGACCTCCTGAGGTCCCTTCCAACCCTAATTTTCTATGATTCTAATGTCATGCTGATACTACTTTGTGCACGACTGGGAAAAGATCATTCAGTGTATCTGTCTGGCTAAGGCTTCTCCTGTACTTCACCATCATCTGAAACAAGAATGAAAGTGACCCAGAAAGCTAACCAGACCCATCATGGCCATCTCCCACAGACACAGAAGTTGACTGCAGCAATAAAATGATTGGTTATTTGCCTGCATATTTGGTTATCACTGGGCTTCTTTCTCACTCTGAAAGTCCTTGCTTACATGGGCATGATGGCATGGGTGCTGCCAAGTATATTAAAAAACGTAAGAGATGTAGAGGAGTACTCTGTGGATAAAAGTACAATGATAAACACATATTAGAGTCAAGGAGATGGAATATTTTCCAAGGACTATTATTCTGTCTTAGAGAAGATATTTAACTGAACGAAGTTAAAGGTAAGGCAGGCAGGAAATGTGTCATTAAAGATATGTATCCAGTAGCTAGCTGTATTGATCGATACCACCTGAAGGTTAAAGATAACATTAAGATGAAAGACATTTAGAAGGGAATCTGAAGATAGCATAGATCTGTAGCATGGTTTGGGCTGAATGGTTGAGGATTGCTCTGAAGTCAAGGTGATTTCTTCTTAGCAAGGCTTCTTTTTTTTTGCTAGATCAAAAAAAATCAGAACTGAGAGGTATTTTGGAGAAGAATTTTAATACTGGATACTTATTTTTTAAATCTAGTACAGTATGTTTGCAGAAGACTTCAAATATCTGTTTGAAAGAGCTGGAGAATGTAGTTTGCAAAAAGTTATCAACCGGTGGTATAGAGAAAAATATAGGGAATGGTGTCAAATAGGTAGCGTGACCCTTGAGGCATGAATTTCCTTAAGAAAAGATGTGTCCTACAAAGGGGAAATAAAGAAGATGGGAAAAATACTGAGATTACATAAGGTGTTATAGTTAAAAGGATTCTTATACTGAGAGAGAAGACGGAGGAAGCATGGCTATAGAATGAACTGGTATAAATGTAAATGGGGATGGAATTAATAGTATGAGGAGGAGGCAAAGATCACTACCATCTTTGGAAATAAACAATGAAGTTAGCTTGTTTGGGAGAATAATTTATTGAATCACTGTTATAAAACACATTCCATACAAAAATAAACTATTAAAAGAACATTTTAATGGCTGAAGTGAATCACTCATAAATTAGGAAATGCCCAATGTAAAGTAATCTGTACATCATTAATCATGTCTTTGGGTATAAGCATCCCAACATAGCTTTTAATTGCATGTTCACATACTAATTTCTTCACAGGCCCCTTACCCATTCAGTGCCCAATGAAGGAGGTAGCTATTCATTACCTTTTTCTTTTTATCCTCACTATGCAGTGTCTTTCACTAAATAGTCTTCAAATCCTCCAATAAGTAATGGAAGTTTCAGTTCTTCCTGGAGCTTTCTTTCACTCCTACCACAGTATGTGAGCACCTCTCAGGCCACTAATGAACTTGTTTTCAAGAGTTAGGAGGACCGTGTTATGCCCATTTTACCGATGAGAAGCAAAATTATTAAAACAAGCTAATGAAAGAGATATGAGAAGTCAAACCTATGAGTCCTGACTCCAACCCAGACATTTACAATCAAATGGCTTTGGCAGCAGGCTCCGTAAATGTACCATGAAACACTACAGGAGGCTCAGTGGAGCCTGGGAGCACATACATTGCAGGAGAGGAAATGTGGCCAGAAACATTTACAAATCCACTGAAAACTTTACTGTGCTTGCAACAACAGTAATTTTGTGTGGTTTTTAACTTGGCCAAAATGGGAACATATGCCAGGAAGAGCTGGGGCTGCACCAGGTGGGCAGTGGCGGCACTGGGAGATGGGGCTATAGGGGGCTGCAGCCCTGCCCCATAGCCCCCCTTCCCATGCCACTGCTTCCCACCCCGAGCCCAGCTCCCACTGAGAAGAGCCCAGCACAGCTGCAGCTCCACCCTGTAGTGCAGCCTGTCTGCCCCACCCCACACAGATCCGAGGGTCACATGCCCCCCTTCCCTCGTGCCCCCCCGATGAGCTGCAGCTCCATTCCCTGCCCCTTCCTGGCTGGGCAGCACCTACCCCAGTCTCTGCCGCACTCCCTTCCTCACCGTGGGGAGTGTTGAACTGCCCTCCTCTTCTACCACAACAGACTTACCGGCTGCACACAGGTCTCCAAGCTGCCAGGCTGTGCTCCTCATTGCCTGCGTGCTGCGCTGCAGCTGCACTCACACAGGCATCTATTGGCTGCATTGGGCTGATTTCCAATACAGCCAGTTTTGTTTATATCGGTGCAGATCCGATATCAGACCAATGTATCGGTGCACCTCTATTAGGACCAGCTGACTCTAGTGGAAACTGCCAATTTATTGTGCCTTAATTACATGTATAGATGCACCCACTAAGTGTCAGATATCCTTAATGCAGTTGGTTCTGCCATCCCAGGCATATTATGGTTTGTAATTACTTCACATTGTATTTAAACAGAAAATGAAACTAAGATAACTTAAAACATACTGGATAAAACAAAGAAAAAAGAGACTGAAAAATAAATCCAACACTTGGCAGTGCCTCATATACTGTCAGGTCTAGCCACGTGAAATTCATTTAGACTACAGCAGTCCATCCCCCTCCCCACCAACACACACACACGGTCTGTTTACCATTTTGTTCTTTGTTTAATTATAATACTTCTTTGTCTTGGAAAGTGGGTTCATGTATGCTGTTGCTATTATTAATCCGATTGCTTCAGTGGAGGCTACTGATAGAGCCCGCTAGCTTTTGTGAGAGGTCAAAAATATATCTTACAGCTAGGTGTTCTGAGAAGCAGTACATGCCAGTCCATATACTGCTTTTATTGTATATATTTACTTAATTTTTGAGAAATAAATTGCATGTAATACCAAAATAAATCTAGCATCACTGCTTTATATTTCATTGTTATCGTGCTCAACTTTTGTTCTCATGATTTAAAGTTCCACAGAAACAGACGGTTCCAGTTGCACCCAGAACTCGAGTTGCCCAGAATGAAACTCAGTTAGAAGTAATCCATGTGCAGACCCGACCATCTAGACCATGCTCGCAGACTCAGGCAGAAGAACTAAAAGACCAGACAATAGAAGGAATTCAAGGTAATTCTGACAATGCTGTTCAAAAAGCAATAAATAGTAAAACTCCTATGCATGAAAGCCTGAAATAGGCTACATCAGTTTGCTGCATCAGAATGCAAAAATGGATGCCTGTTGTTGGCTTTAAAAGTAGGTATCAGTTATAAGCAAGGGGTGCATACAAGTATTACATTTCTACCAGTGGAATTGCAATTTGACAAGCGCGCGCGTGCCTCCAGTTTGAGATGCTACAAGAGGCATGCTGTGAATGAAAAAAAGTTCCCCACACTGGAAATCCAGGTATCAAAAAAAAAAAAAAAACCCGCAGGAAAAAACCAGGGCAAGGTACAGTCCTGAACTGTGCCCTGAGGTAATCCGAAAGCCGGTTCTCCAGAGCAATGCTCTGGTTTCTGGACCAGGAAAGCTGTGCGCTAGCAGGGCAGACCAGGCTGGGTCCACTCAGCGTGTACAGAGCCCATGTCACACAGCACAGTGATGCCACAGGGCGGGGGCGGGCAGCGTGTGGAGGCTTCTGCTCAAGCCCCCCACTTGCCCAGTGCTAGTATTCTAGCACTGCTAGCCAGCCGGGCTATGTCCAGTGCAGTGCTGCCGGACCCACAGTCTGAATGGGCTCGGTGTGACCTGACCTGGCACGGCACAACCCACTAACATGCCTTTGCACAGGACTGGGACATACAGCTGGCCCCCGGTGCTGGCCCTGGGCTCTAGCTCCCCCTGGCTGCAGATCTGGGAGGAGCTGGGCAGGGTCATTTTGCCTCAAGTGGCACAACTTGCCCCATGCCAAAGTGCATGTCCAGAAACGTGCGCTAAGGCAAAAATCCCCAGCACAAATTTGTTTGAGCTGCTGCAAGAGCACGTGCCTGCATGTGTGGATGTGCCCTAAGTGTAAAAGCGTTCAAGCAGTTTCTGTCAGAGCAAAAGTAGCAGATCTGGTAGAAACTTCCACCACCTCTGAGGAGATAAAAGTAGAGTTTCTACTGGAGAAATGAACATCTGTATACTTTACCTCTCCAGTAGAAGCCTCCATGCTATTTTCTGGCTTCCCAGAGTGCATAGCTCTAGTCCTTTCCCCTCCAGAGAGATAGTCTGTGATATAGCTGGACTCTACTGCTGTGGCCTAGCACCAAAGCAAACCTTTCCCCTTGTCAGTTTTGGGGCTGAGAAAACCCCCAGCCCCTCTCCACAGCTCCAGGGATGTGCAACTGACAAGTCCCGTGACCAGCGCCTGGGCTTTAAATGCTGCCCCCATTGCCTATCCTAGCAGTGGAAGTGGTATTTAAAGCCTGGGTGCCAGGAATGGAGTAGGGAAGCTGCCGCTGCCCACTCCCCGGACAGAAATCCCTAGTGTGAGGAGTCAATGAAGGGGTGGCCCTGCTGCTCAGTCCACTTGGGAGCACCTTGGCGTGAGCAGTGCCACAAGGGGGTCTGCTCACTCCCATCTAAGGTTCTGGTTTGAGGAGTGGGCAGGGGATTTGCCCCACTGCTCCAGTACCCCACTCCCAGGACCATCTAACCCCAACCACACACACCTGACCTGCACTGAAACTGGGAACGTGGGCTGATGCAAAGAGTAAGGCTCCAGGGCTGCTGGCAAGGAAATCGACAGGCTTGAAAAGTTAGTAGTGGGTTTTCTGTCTGAAAGCTTAATAGCTGAGAGAGAGGAGGGGTGTTGTGAGGAGGGCAGATGGCCCCCTCAGCCAGCCAGCCCTGACCTGTTTCTTTGGATACTGTCAGCTGTCTCCAGGCTAACAGGGGAGCCTGCAAAGTACTCGGGGGCCCCTTGGCTGGGCGCTGTTGGCAGCACAGACTGTCTCAGAGCACTTATCCAGACAGGCTCATGGAACCTTGCACAAGCATTACACAGTAGTGCTTCTAGCTGCTCAGACTAAACTGGTTAACTTCTACTGGTTCATCTGAGAACTTGCATGCATCCAAGGTTTGTTATAATGAAGTTTTGCTATAATATATAACAGACATGATTTGTTGGAGCAATAGGACCTAAAACTTCTAAAATCTCTTGAAAGATGTGGGATAAAAGCGCCTAAGCACTTTTGAAAATTGGACTTGGGAGTCTAAGTCCTGTTATATCAAAGAATTGCTCCTAAGTCACTTAACATAGGCATGTTTGAAGATATTACTTGTCTTTTAATATCATACAGCTGAATTCCTTGAATATAAACTGTGTATACAAATATCTGGCCAATGTTGTACCTACAAACTGGTGTTCTTTAGTACTGGTCTTGCCTACTAGAGTTCATTGTTTGTTCTGTATGCTCAGTTAGCCTCAATCTTACAAATACACATTGTCTTAGGTTGTCCTTTCATGATGATAAATCCTGCAGGTATTTGAAGGGCTGTTCTCTTGTTCGATAGAAACATTTTTGAGGAAATGTCTTTGAAAAACTATTTTCGTTGTGACTTGGCTATAAACTAATGGTTCCCAAACAGAAGTTTGTGAACGTTGGTGGCCTGAGAAGCCATAATCAACAGTCTAATGATCATGCCCTTATTTAGACTGCTTACTTTTTAATTAAAAGCTTGTTGATAAGGTGCCCCATAGTCCTTGAGAAATACTTGGTCATATGCATAACAGTGGTGGGTTGTAGCACGTGTTCCAATGAGAAATGTTCAGAGAAATTCATTCTTTGTTTTTTAAAGGAGATACCAGACTTAGAATTTATTTATTCATATTAAACATGTAGAATAAGTTAAAACATTACATGGACTTGAGTGGGATGGCCGTCAGATTAGCTACATTTTATTGCATAAAGTGGTGACCGTTTTGCATTAGAATAATGTAATTGCTGTTTTTTTAATGCCTTTGCTTTTTGTTTAGTTGTATTTTCTCTAGTATTTTATGCAGGCAGAATATTTCAGCATTAGAATCAGTTGGAATAATATACAGTAATACATAGTAAATAACTTTTCTGGTTTAGTTTAGTTTATAAAAATGCATCAGTGTGTGAGTCTTTGTCTGTGTATGTTACTGCGCGCATCATGTTTCCTTAAAATGTGTAGATGGAGACTGGTGGAATAGTTTTTCCAGGTCCTAACAACATATCTAATGCAGAAAACTGCTAAGCTAATTCATCTAGTAGTTTTAATGTCACCATAAATTAACCTTTCTTTGAGTTAGTTCCCTGCCTTCAAGCATGCACATGCTCTTAATCCATCTAAAACCTGGAGGAAGGAAGGTGCTGACAGATTTGGTCTTTCTTGTACTGTTTCTGCCTGAATATGCTGCATCTACAAACACGTTCTAAAGCCCGGGACAACAGTGAGAGAGACTGTAAAAGCGTTCAAGCAGTCTTTCAGTAGCTGGATATTGCCATGATCCTATCCTGTTGCAGGACATTTCTTACAGCTTTTGAAAAATTTGAGACAGAACACAAAAATTGCAGGAAAGCAAACATGTTCCTCTGTTAGATGTTATATATTTTAAGACTGGAAAGAATTAGCACCTGCTTTGGTGTTCTCATTCACCCTGTAGGTTTAATTTTGCCATGCAATACAATGTGCTTCTAATTTCTGTTTTCTTTAGAAACTGAACAAAAGCAGCTGTTTTCTCGGCTCCAGATTGACCCTTATGTTGAAGAAACTTTGCAGATGGCTCAAGGTCCAAAGTCTTTTCTTTTATAAAAAGTTTCTACCATGTGTTACTTTTTACTTTGCCACAAATGGGTCAAAATAGTTTTCCCTTTCAGTTAGTTATACAGGCATACCTCGTTTTATTGCGCTTCGCTTTATTGCGCTTCACAGATACTGCGTTTTTTAAAAATTGAAGGTTTGTGGCAACCTTCACTGTTGTCTTATTTTAAGAAATTGCCACAGCCACCCCAACCTTCAGCAACCACCACCCTGATCAGTCAGCAGCCATCAACATCGAGGAAAGACCCTCCACCAGCAAAAAGATTACGACTCGCTGAAGGCTCAGATGATGGTTAGCATTTTTTAGCAATAAAGTATTTTTTAATTAAGGTATGAACATTGTTTTTTTAGACATAATGCTATTGCACACTTAATAGACTACAGTATAGTGTAAACATAACTTTTATATGCACTGGGAAACCAAAAAATTTGTGTGACTTGCTTTATTACAGTGGTCTGGAACCGAACCCGCAATATCTCCGAGGTATGCCTGTATACTGATTTATAATATTTTTTGGTTTGTAGAGCTTATGAAGTGAAGTCCCTCTGTCAATAAGTGCCAAAATCTGAGGTATTGGCATATGAATTCTCCCCAGCGCCCACCCCAGTAACAAGGTGTTGGTCAGGCTCAGGCTGGAAACAGACGTCTTTGGTAGAGCGCTATCATCTGTGCTGTGATATGTTGTGGCACAACTCATTGCATTCCAGAGACGTCTACAGATGTCCCCAATGCCACCCCCCAATTTGGGGCACATCTGCAAGTGGGGGAAGCCCCTGCTTATAGAATTGCCCCTCGTGTTGGGGAATGGGAAAACTTTCCATGGGTGTCCTTCCACACCTGCAGGTGCACATGGGGAAATTCCTCTTCAGAGGAAACTCCCTGTGGGAGTTTGAGGGACCCAATCCTGACTGAGCCTTAAAACCGGGCTTTTCCCTGCCTAGCCAGACCTGCCCCTTTGCGGTTGTGGGGGACAGGTCTGGGTAAGTGGGGAACCTTTACTTCCATACTTGGAGAAGCACCCCAAAATTCCCTGGGGTGCCTCTGTCAGCGGGAAAAACAGGCAGGTGGCCCAGGGGCTTGAGGGGCCCTCAGGATCCCAGAGCACCTGCCTGGGGTGGTGGGAGAGTACAAGCAGCTCAGGCTGCTGCACTCTCCTGCCACAGAGGTAATAGACATTCATTGCAATAATGTGGCAGAGTCTGTTACTGTCTTTTAAGCCACTGATATTCTTTTGAAGTGGTGGGACAAAGGATATCAATGTCTGTTTCCTCACTATTTGTGTCGCCATAAAAATGTTTTTGGTGGCACAGATGAGACATTAGGCCATATCTGTTTCTACCCTCAGTGTTGCAGTAGTGTCAGCTGATATAATCAGTGTTTGGTGATGTAAGTAAGGAAGTAAAATGATTTTTCTATCAATAACTGTTAGAAAGAGTTGAAAACAAGAAATTGCTAGTTGGTCAGCCTTTGCTAAGTATATATTCAAAAACAAATAGTTGAACAATGGAGTACAATAAAGTGATTTTTGCCTTACCCAGGTTATTATGATGTGGAGTCTGTGGTCCACACAGACACTAGATCGTTTATTCTGAAGAAGCCGAAGCTGTCTGAGGAAGTAATGCCACAGAACCCGGAACTGGGGAAAAGGGCTGCAGAAGCCATGCAGGCACTGTCAGGACGTCTCATACAGACACGGTAAAATGTCATTTCTTTAAATGCAAGTAAAGGGTTAGAGGCCCAAATGTATATATGCTAAGCCATCCTCTGGTAATACATTTTTTCCATCTAGTGTGTTGATTTAACTATAATGGGATTCACAATTAGAGCAGCAATTAAGTATGTTTCTTGGTTTTTGTATGTTGCAAAAGTCCAGTTAGGGTTGCCAAAAATATATGGGCAAATGTGCTGGCAGTATAGAAGGAAGGGATACAATCTGACATGGATTTCTTTTAGGGTGAAGATAGATTCCAGGCTTGAATGTAGCTTGAGCAGGTCATTGGAACTGAGTAGCTTGCAAGTATGCGACTGTTGGCCTACTTGTACTGTCCTTTTTATATTTGTACTTGTTATGTTCCGCTATGTTAGCAGGAAGATGCATGTGCTGATAAGAAATTTAGTTTATTTAACTCTTGTACTAGTTTTATTTATTCTTAGCCTGTCAGACATCACTAACAAAGTAATTCTAGTTGTATCGATAACCTCTTGCTTGCCATCATTTTAAACAATAGTTAAGCAAAGAGTTGGTGGCAAACAAGGTTGATTTTTTTTTTTTTGATGGTGGAGAGAGCAGTTGTGTCCTGATTAGGATTTCCTGGGAGCGTAGGTAAAAATTTTGCTGCTATTACTGTTGAATCATTGCCCAGGAGCAAGCAAATGGCTCATTAAGGGAGTAGGGTGTGCAGGGAGGGAAACTAAGTTAGCAGAATTGGCCTTTAAAGAATTTGACCAAGGGGAAGTGTGGGGCTTGGGACAACTGAGAACGGTCCATATTAGTGAGTCCTTTTCATTAGCTTAACTCAGTGACCAGTGGCAATAATGCTTTTATGTAATCTTACTGCTAAGTAACTCCCACCAGTGAGGGTGGTGGGGAGGGTGTACACACACCCTCCAGCATCTTAAATATGGTCTCATTGAACTACAAACCACTTTTGTGGAAGTAAGTTGCCCTGTGTTGAGTGGTATTTAGCATACTCCTTTGACCCCTTCACTGCTACTCTATTTTTTGTTTAGCATCCTCAGAAAACTTCTGATATTTCAACCCCTTGAGCAACTGCAAACAGCCTCTGTTTAAAGAGAAACCATTTTCCACATTTTCCTGCTCTGAGAACGGAATTTGCCCATCAAAATTTCACTGACTCGAGGCCCAAATGGGCATGATTCAGTTCAGCACTAGTGACATAGTGAGGGTCCCAATAACTCAGTGGTCTCCAAAGTGGGGTGTGCAAGACAATCCATTGGGGTGTGGGGAGAAAATATTAGAACCTCTATTTCTATTTATTTTTTATCTAAAAAAATAAGAAAGAAATTAAGCTTTACTAATATTTAATATACGGATTGACACTGGTGTCCTCACTCGGTCCATATGTTAGACGGTCACGTGTCACGTATGGTACACGAGGTATCCTGAGGGAAGAGCGGGAGTTTCACAATGCGGAGGTACAGTAGTACAGTGTACAATGGTCTCCAAACTTTCTACAGTGTTACACTGAGTAGTACATGTATATAATTTATAAATAAATAAATATACATATATTGGAGGTGCGTGCTCAAAATTTTTTTACTGATAGAGTTGCGCGATCAAAAAAATTTGGAGACCACTGCAATAACTTGTGGCCCCCCCAGGGCTTACAGTTACTCCTTTATATCAGCAGTATGAGTTGAGCCATCCCACCTAGGGGGCCCCAGCTTTGACTTCTGTCATGAAAGAGTCAACTTATTGGGCCTTAAGCTGGTAATGGTTTTTATGCATTTAAAAAATGTCTGTTTTTGGAGGTGTGTGTTAAACTTTAGTTGTTTTTCCCTCTGTAACATATGTAGGCCAGAGCTGTATCAGCACTTGTTTGGGATAGCTGCTGAATGCACTTGTGCCTTTTCAGCTTGTGTAATGCAGACACCCCAAACTCATGCTTGTAAAATCTTTAAAATGTATCAGGATAGATGTTTGGACCTGTCTGTGTGGGGACAAGTACACATGCATTGGATACTTTTTTTCCAAGCATACAGTTTACTTTTATGCCTCAAACTTGATTTCTCTTGAACAGCTTAATTCAGTGGTTTTCAACCTTTTTTAATAAGTGTACCCCTGGCGGCTGGACCGCGGGGAGGGGGGAATGGTGCATGGCTGGACGTGGGAGGGGCGGGATCTGGCTCACGATCAGACACGGAGTGGTGGCAGTGCAGAGTGGTGGGTGGCGGTGCCCCATCTCCGCCTGCACATACCCCCTAGGGCCTTCCCAAGTACCCCCTGGCTTAATTGACAACCCCTGGTTTAATTGTAACCCTTTGGTAAGTTTTGCATAAATGCTTCTCTGATCAGTCCACTGAGTCAGAGTGCACCATTGTGAAGCTTACCACTGTGGTGCAATTGCCTGCTCTACACTGTGGCAAAAACCAGTTCTAGCTGGGTTTCAGTGAGACCTCAAGCAACACTGAAATTTGAGGCTAATTATTATTGGTAGAGAAGTTCAGTTCCAGTGAGTGAAAAGGCTCCTCGTGCTTAACTTTCAATCTCTGGATTCATTGGTAGAGCTCTGTATCAGTACAGCTTGCTTCACTTGAACTTCTTTTCACTTACAATGGTTGTGATTAGTACATTGTGTTCTCTTTTGTCTGGTAGAGAACAGCCTGCACAGCCAGAAAAGCCTCCTAGTCCCAAGTTCATAGTGACACTGGATGGTGTCCCCAGCCCACCAGGGTACGTGTCTGATCAGGAGGAGGAAGAGCTGTGTATAACTGAAGGACTGAAACCAGTTACCCAACATTCAGTCACAAGCAAGGGATTAAAAATCCCTCGAGCACAGCAGATGCAAGTTGTAACCAGACAGCTGGGGAGCCCTGAAGGTAATTATTCTAGCCAGTGGGACCTTTGTGCTAGGGTGGATGAGGGGCTACACTTGGGAGAACACTTAGGTTGGTTTATTTATTTATTTTAGTCTTAAACATCACTGCTTTCACCTGTTTTAATACTCAGTATCTCATTGATATAACAGTGAGAGTCCCCTTAGATAAGTGAAATATTGCAGGAGGTTAAAGGTGATATAACCTTAGTGCTATTTAACTTGGTGAACCAGTTTCACATCGGGAATTCTGCTCCACACAGTTTAATACCCTGGTAAAATGTGTTTGTTATTTCCACAATTCCCTGGATTTCCAATTGCCTCATTACACTGTTTGATCCAGGAGTGTTTTAGTTCCATGTAGAAGAGCAGGAGATTCTGAGATGCACCTTTTTACTCAACTTACCTTGAACCTCTGGAAATGTATCAGTTTGGTTATTAACTGTAATCTTTCAAATCAGGTTTGCCCAAAGCTCTTTTTCACTATAGCCTACATATCTATATCACTTCAACTATAATTTGATGATTCAGGATGAAGGGCTAGAGTGCCATTTCCTTCCCAATTGCTTCATCAATCAATGCAGAGATTTTAAGAATAGTCTAAGGAGCAAGCCACAGTAAGGTAAACAGAAAGGCTGAGATCCTCAGAGGTATTGAGATCTTGATTTCAGTGGGAAGCAGACACCCAGGTTGCTTATTCGTGTGCTTTGGGAGGTGGGGGAGGAGCACTTTAATTATTGTGGCTCCAAGAACCGTTCTAATTAAAGCACCTGGAGCATCATGTGTATCAGTGTCCCTGCACTGAAAAATGGCATTGGGGGGCGCTTTAACTAAAGCTCATCAAACAAGCTTTAGTTAAAGCGCCTCCACTGCCATTTTTCAGTGTTAGGACACTGAATACGCGTGATGCTGGAATCTGCTGGAGAGTGGTAATTACCACACTCCAACAGACTCAATTAATCAAGTCCACTCTGATGCACTGTAATTACAGCACATCAGAGCAGCCTTAGTGCACGTGTATAGGTGCCCCCAAATATCTTATAAGGATGCAGGCCCAATCACTAATGTACAGGAACTGCTAGAAAGTAAGGGCATAAAAGTGAGGACTTCTAACTCAACAGATCAGGCCTCAGAGTAATAAGGATTCCTATTGCTTACCAGCTTAGTGTCAGAAATAACTTTTTTATGCTTCTTTTGCATAATGGCTTTGGCTCTGAAAGACTGTCCCGGAGAAGTGGAGCAGCGTTGTGTAAACTCATGCTTCAGCAAGACAGTTAACTAAGTCTGAACTGAAGAGGAAGGGAGGACCCAGATTAATGTTCACATCTGAGGTTCGGCTTACAAAGTGGGCAGAAAATAAATCTGAATTCATTTGTAGTCTGAGTGATTTCCATTTTTGTCTGACATCAACCCTGTGCTGGGCATGTGCTGCATATAAGGTGATCTGCTTCATATACGGTATTGCGCACGCAGTAGGAAATGTCCCTTTGTATTTTTCCCTTCTACAGTGGAGATAGAGCAAATGAGTGTGCCACAGAAACAGGAGAAGGTGCTTGAGCGTTGCAAGTACTGGCCTGCTTGTAAGAACGGAGATGAATGTGCATACCATCACCCCACGCTGCCGTGCAAGTGAGTAAAAAAGCTTCTCTCCCTGAGTTCTCATCTTCTCTGCCCTTATGCATTCCAGATATTGCTTCAGATATTTCACCTTCTTTATTAGAAGAACATGGTTCAAGCCAGTGTAAAGCCGGTCATTTGAGGACTAAGCTAAGCCCCCTCCCCTTCTTTTTTCCACTGATTGTTGGGAAGTAGTGAGTTTTCTCATCAGTGGGATCACAGCTGTGCTGTTCAGGGGAGGAAAGGAGTACTTCTCAGTGAGGGGCCACAAGAGACTTGAACACAAAAGCGAAGAGCCTGGTTATGCAGATCTTTAAAAAACAAGGCCTGTGGATGTCGTTATGCCATTGACTTCTTTTGAGTAGGCGGTGGCTGTCCAAGATAATGTTTTCTTGCCACTGTCATCCTAGCAGGTGGGTGAGCATTTAGCTGAACCAGGGAGTGGAGGAGCCTACTGCTTTAGTGTGAGTTCATTATCAGGTTTGGCCTCCATCAGTCGTGGTTTGATCTCACTCAAGAAGGTCATTTTAAATTATATCCTTAGAACACAAATCAAAAGCTTGAACTCTCACCTTTTTCCAGGCAGATGAGCTGTATGCACTTGTCTGTATGCAGTCATTACTGTGCAGTAGGCTGGAGGGTGTATTTATGTGCACCAGTTATTCTATGCTATCTCCCCCTGTGCACAGTAAGCACAGGGAAAATGACTGCACTTACTTTACACTGAAGGCCAGGTTCTCTTCCACCTTTCACATATAGTAGGGGAATTAGGTGCCTAAGTGCAGTTCTATTCCACCTCACCCAAATCCCAGAAAAACTGAGTGCAGAAGGTGGGTGGGTTCTCCTCCTCCTCACTGCTTTGTTGTGAGTGACTTGGTCTTAAAATGACAATGTGTTACAGCAGTAGATGCATTAATGGATTTTCAGAACTTGGACAGGCTGAAATAGACTCCCAATTGGAGGCATAATTGGTGCAGAATGTGGTTCTGAAAGCATCAGAGTAGCTAGCACGGAGTAGCTAGTGTGGTACAAGTGGACCCTGTGGCTTATTTGGCAGAAACTGCCCCATGTAGACAAGCTCTGGGTGCTGGCACAGACCATCTCTCACCCTAGGAACTGTTCTGCTTCAGGAGGGGGTGTGCAGGAGCTGCTCTGTGGACAATGCCTAAAATAATTGGTTTGTTTTTTTCCCTAAGAGTCTTTCCCAATTGCAAATTTGCTGACAAATGCCTGTTTATCCACCCAAACTGTAAATACGATGCCAAGTGCACCAAGCCAGACTGCCCCTACACCCATGCCAGCCGACGCACCCCATTGCCACCTCCAAAACCAGGTGAGCAGGTTTTACTACAACCATGGGAATTTCATTGAGTAGGGGAGAGATGGTGCATAGAGGGCTGGGAGCTTCCCTAGCAAAATCTGATTTGGTGAATCCAGGTGGGGCACAGTATGTGCTAGATTAGACAGTTTTGACTTTATTACCCACTTGGCACTGGGACCAAATGATGTCAGAAAGACAAGGAACAATGTCAGCCAGGCCACTGTCACTGTTGTGTTGGTTGTGTTGCCCTTGGTTGCAGGAAGCTGAGTTGTGTGTGGCCAAGTTGATGGCTCAAGCACTTGTCATAGCTCAAATAAAGCAGCAGCTATACAAGAGCAACACATCTAAGCTTGGCCCAGGTTGGATGTGCAGTGGAACAGGGACTCTCTCGACACAAACTGCAGACTTACATTTCCAGAAGCTGGCTTGGCCACCAAATTCTACGTGCTTGCCATCTGATGGATCTTTTACTCCAGAAATCATAGCAACTCACTTTCTGGAGTGAAACAGCTTATTGGAAATTTGGTTAGTCTCAGCCCACAAAAGCTTGTGCTATACAGAAATTTACTTTAATTAGTCTGTAAAATACAAATCTACCCTGCCTTCTACTAGAATTACTTAGGTTGATGATCCTTTAAGTCACATCCCAAAGACTGCACCTCCACTAGTATGGTGCCTCCTGCTGTCCTACAGAGATGTCAGGACAGAGTCCAGTATACTGATCGGCAGCATGACGCCATTTCCCAGCAGTCCTAAGTGTTTGTGGGATAGATCCCACCCACCGTCTAAATGCAGTCTTTGGGTCATTCTGCCTAAATTCCAGTGCAGAGTTGGAAAGAGTACTTGGCACCTTCTGTACAGATGCACTGAAGAGCTTTTTCATGTGGCTACATCATTGTCTTGTTCCATCCCAATTTTTGTGGTACTTTAGTGCACCGTAGAAAAGTAGGGCTAGCAGGGGCCAAAAGTAGGGCTAGAAGGGTGGTCAGGGTCATCTAGGAGACCAGCTTTTTTTGGCAGGTATGCCACAGACTAGTCCCACAATCTCCTTAAATGCCATTCCTATCCCCTTCTTCTGCTGCTCTGCTTTCTGCTCAATATTCAGTGTTCCCTATCTAATTGCTTGCTCTGCTTTCAACTCCCTGCCCTATGTACCCAGCTTGATATCTTCTCCCTTCTGCTTCCTGCCCTATCTTCTGTCTGTCCCTTCCTTGTTCTGTCACAGGCCACATGCAAAGGCTGGCTCTGCCACTTATGGTACTCTGTTGCAGGTTGGCCCTCCATGATCTAGTCCAACCCCTTACTCAAGGCAGGATCATCCCTGTCTGAATCATCTTAGATTAGTAATTCTCAACCTTTTCAGACTCGGGCACCCCCTTGGAAAATACCAGGTCTTAGCTTTCACTTGTGTTTTTTGACTGGAAAAATACTAGAGCAATTCTTCTTTTGCAAAAAACTCAAGGAAATTCTGACCACAACAGGTCAGGATGTTTTTGACACTGGAGTCCTATTCAAAATCTTCCGGTTTATCATGCACACTTAATAGTGCTAATATTGTATAGCTCCCATGGCATCTTTAAAATGATCTTACATCATTTAAATCCCTGTCACAGATAACTGTCTGTTCTGCTCTTAAAAAACTTGGAAACAACTGTCACGTAAATCACCGAGCTATGATAAGGTTTAATTGTTTGAGATCCTCAGACCTAAGGGTGCTCAAAGTTCAAACTGTTAATTGATGGGAATGTGGAATCACTTTGACCCCTGCAGCATTTTTGTTTTTGTGTTACTAGCACCACTGCCGGCACTGCCTGTGTCCTCCAGCAGCCTGCTCTGCAAATTCTTCCCTGCTTGTAAGAAAATGGAATGTCCATTTTACCACCCCAGGGTAAGTGCCCCTCTTTGCTCCTCTTTTCCTTTGTAGTAGGATAGCTGAAATGTGTTATGTGGTTATGTGCTGTATTTACATACATTACTTTGAATTACTATTTTACTAATTATATTTTAATATCCATGAAGAACATTTTCATACTTTCAAGGGCCCCCAGTTACCGTATCCCCCCATTTCCCATATGTCACAGATTGTGATGCAGGTGGATGCTATTCAGTACATAAAATTAAAACCTGAAGGCCAAAATAAACCAAGCTGGAGATTCAAACTGTCCACTGGTAGAAACTCTAAACAAAGGTTAAAACTTTTTGAGATTGTCTGCAGCTTGTATCGTAGGGTGTCCACAGTGCATTTATAAAGTGCATTTCTGCATGCTCACGTAGAAAGTATGCTGGTGGCAGGGTCAAGACTGTGGGAGTTACTTTGCGTAAGTAATATACAGACCTTAGATATATTACCCAGCACCAAGTAGCTGAGGACAAAGGGCTTAGGTACATGGGAAAGTGAACCAGCAGTAGCTATCCCATGTGTGCTGACATGGCTAGAGCTGTAAGATGTAACACTGAGTGGAACACACCTTATTGTGGGGAGCAGTGCAGTACAGACATGCCCTAGTGCTATTTCACTAACCTGAATACACAGGTTGCCCAGGCTGCACCTTCTGAGATGCAAGCTTTCCTTGGTCTGAAATACTGGTCCCCTAAACTGGATGAACCCTATGCTACAGTTGATGCTGTCCCATGATACATACTTCCCAACTCTGTCCACCCCCCAGGTGTTAATCAAATCAGTAACTGTGTCTTTCAGTGCAGTTTATTCCAACGTATGTTTTCATGCTCATTATTTATGAAATACCTTGTGTATGTACAGGAAGTAGCACCTCTTCCACCATTGGGCTCTATTAACAATGTGATTCATTTGTCCAGTTATTAACCCATGATAGTATGTTAGATCATACAGTACTATGTACTTGTGCATCCAGTGTGCCAGGTTAGGTTGCTTGTGGATTTAGGAGACTAATTTCAGTCCTTTCTGAATGTCTCTAATCTGATTTGTTAGCATTGTAGATTTAACACGCAGTGTACAAGACCAGATTGTACGTTCTACCATCCAGCTGTTGCCGTACCTCCACGCCATGCCTTGAAGTGGACTCGAAGTCAAGCTAGGTGAGCTTAAGCAGCCTTTCCTCTGGTTAGTTTTAAGGCCCTGATCCCATAAATATTTATGCATGTGTGCAACTTTACTGACATAAGAGTCTGAATGATCAGGGCCTAAGACTGTTTGCAAGAAGCAGCTTCCCTAATATTTATTTAAAAATCCTATTATAGAACTGTGGTCTAAGTTTTAGAACTCTGTATTTTTTTTATTAAGTTATTTAAATATTTTTTCATTTAACATTAGAACAGTGATACTCAGCTTATCTGGCTGTTCTAGGGGGAAGAAGGGGACATACCAGATCAGGCTGTATTGTATCTTGATCAGTTCTGCCTTAGAACATGGAGGAACTAGAACTAGAACAGAGTTAACTGGATTCGTAACCTCCAAGTAGACCTTACTGTTCTCCACTTGAGCTGCAAACACCACATTTCTTCTTCCACCTTGTGTTATATAATAATGTAGACTCCTCTTACCCCTAGCTGTTAATTAGCCCTCATCTTAAACAATGAGATTTTTCTAATGTGGTGTGAACTGATGCATTAGTAACCATTTTTGGAAAATATTAATTACTTCTGAAAATATTAATAGGAGGAGAAATTTTACCTGTAAAACTTCTGTTGTAGAGAGAGAAATGAATTAAAAGAATGCAATATAAAATGGTCAGAATATACAGCTGACCTAGTTTGTGTTGAGAGGGTCATTGCTTGTGAGTTTCTGTTTCACTGTAAAGATTTAAGATCACCGTGAATATGTTTTTCTGCATGTTTTGCATATTCTGGTAGTAACAGCTTATTTGTTTGTTATTTTTTATCATATTTACATAACAGTTTCTACAAGTTACCAGCTTTATGCCAGAAAAACCTTTGTAAAAATCTCATTAAGAAAATCTGTACCTTTAACCTATTTCTCTTTATATTCCAGTTCCCGTAAAAGTAAATGCTTATGTAGAAGCAGGATTTACAGGTTTTGAAAACAAACTCTGAAAGCCAAAACTTCAAACTTAGGTGAATTGAAGTTTGACATCTAAGTGAATGGCCTAGTTTTCAGAAGTGTTCCAACAGAAGTTGAACCAGGCCTGTCCTGGAATAAAATGCCTAAACAGAGATTTAAGAGCTTAGATTTAGGTGTCAAATGCTGGCTTGCCTTAAAAACTCAAATCTTTGGAGCCTTTTTTTTTTTTTTTTTTTTTTACCTGAAAAGGAAGTTTTGCTGCTTTGACTTAACTGAATGGGATGGCGTAGCACTCCTCCCATCACCTTTCGTAAGTGGTTAATTGTGTGGGGTTTTTTTCCTCTCCAGTGAATAATTATGATACAACTTGTGGATAAAAGTTACCACCTTTGGACAGAGTGGAGAGGAACATTCACTAGAAGGAAAAGAGGATGCTACAGAACTTTACACAATATGAACTTTGAATATATATTGTTTTCATAAGACAAATTTGATTGCATATTTGAAATGTCTCTAATTTTTCCAAGTTTGTAAGTTTAATAGCTGGTTTTACATTTTTTTACACTGTAAAGAGAAAATGTCTGTGTAGGGAAAGGTTTTACTTTAAATTCCATTAAAAAGTTTCAAGGCACAGGTTGGTGATCTGCTGTTTGTTTGGCCCTGTTCTGTCATTACTCAAAGATCATATACTTAATCCATTTCTTAAAATAGAATCAACTTTTTACAGAGCTTGTTCCTCCAGCTTAGGTCACCATGATATTTTTTTGGGGTGGGTAATGGCCAGTGTTATCTCCAGATGCGTCTAAAGTTGAAGTGATAGGCAAGGGAAGCAGTGTTCTTAATTCTCTCATGCAGCCACTTCTGGCATGTGGGAAAGATGGAGGTGCTGATGAATATCCTATTCTGTAGGCAGGTTAATGCTTTCTAGTTTTTAAGCAAAAAGACACAGGCCGTTGCTAAATTGCCAGAGAGCAGGAGATGAGAACAAGAGTGAAAGCTGTCATTCATAAGCAGTTCTTTTTCAACATCCCAGGCAAAGGGATGAGTTATTCCACTGTTCTGAATTAAAGAGCAATCGAAATGGAAATCCAGGTTGAAAGTTCTGAACGCACAGCCATGGGCAAGCAAGAGGACATCATTTGGAATGACTCTTCCAGAAACCATTTTTCCACAGGCACCCAATCCCACTGAGTATACTCTTATCTCACTCTAGGGACCGTTTACAACTCACATGACAAAGATAGACTCCATTAGAATAATAACTCTAAACAGTTTAAAATCTGTAATTCACCCGCTGGAATGACAAAGTGTTAAACAGTAACATGAATGCACTTTTTTATTAAATCTTTTGTATCTTTTGGGGAATTACATTTTCACAAAAATATACAAAAGATATTTTATCTTTACAAATATTTACATTAGATACCAGAAAACAATGTTAAACATATATATAACTTAAATTTGACAACTATACTTCTGAATTCTGAAACTTAACACTCCAGGAAATTATTTTCAAATATATTTGTGAGATAAAGTACTTAAAGTTTAGCTCATATTCAAATTTTAAAAAAATCTTAATTTTTGCAAAATCTGACGTTTTAATTTATATATTTAAACAACATAGAAACTACAATGTTGCATGGTTACAGGGGTTACATGTTCATGGTGAAAAACAAAATGGGAGCACGCTTAAAACCATGATCCTTATTACAGTAATACATGATCATACACCTTTGGACTAGTTCAGAGTACATTTTTTTGGTTAAAGCAAGAGGGATTATCTGACAAACACTTCATAATAAAATGCAACAAATATAAAAAGACATCTGGGATCTGTGATTTTAAGCTTAAATAACTACAGTAAGATATTTTCCTAAAATGACCTGACAGCTGAGTGGAGGGGCATAGGATAGGATCTTTTCCCATAAGGAACAGTGCTGAAATACTCTTCTTTTTTCCCCCGAAATAAAGAGACTGCAAATGAAGTTATTGTTATACAGAATTTTAAAATATTTCCATTAGCTGCACTTTTCAGAAGTACATTTGTTAGCAGGAAGCTGTTTTAACCTTTTGAGTATGAGAGAAAAGAAAAGCATTATCATTGGTGGGGTAGCAGAACAGATTCATAATATCTTCACTACTGAATTTCGACAGCTTTGATGTTTTATCTCCAACTGTACAGTATTTAGCATAAGGCAATCTGCTCATACTCTTCACTAATAAAAATAGTGGTTAACCAAGCCACAAAGTTAAAAGGATATGTAGTTTCAGGCAGAGGGGAATGTTTTCTAATGTGTGCCACTTAGATTAATTTTATATTATTTTAAATGCCTACTGTGGTCTTGATTTTATTCTTATGTAAAACTTTACATAAGACGTACATTAACTTTCTTCACAAATTAATAAAGCAGCTTCTCCATTACGTAGCATAATATACTGTATACTCAGAAATTAACTAAAAAGTAGTTGAACAAAGCTCACAAGCACCGGCTGCTTCTTTGTTAAACTTACAGTAGCTACGCCAAGCCCGAAGAGCACAACAGGATGATAACTAATAGTAAGTAAAGGAAAATGACTAGAAATATGGAAAGCATTACCTGACAATACCAAAATTGCCACAAGAGTAGTAAACCAACTTTATCATGCAGTTTGTGCCAATGTTCATGCTTGGAGTTTATAAAATGCATTTAATATATTCCCAAAGAATTACATAATTGAGCATGTCCTGGGTACAGCAGATGTTTGAAAAAAGCACAGAATTATGGAAGTGCCACATGCAGCTCCAATGTTACAGGTGAGTAGTAAGCTTTAAGTCTTGCACTGAAAGCTGGGGATCAAGCATTTTATTCTGTATGAAGAATACACTATCATTCAAGATTGCAGCCCTTACTTTTGAATACAGAATGTTTTTTCTGAGAATCCAGAAGTCAATCCACAAACCAGTTTGAGCTCACCAGTTTTAAAGTGGACTATAACAATTGAAATGTTGTCTAGCAACTGTTTTATTTCAAATGACAGACTCTGCAAATTTCCTGTGTAATTCAAGCTTAATGACAGTCAGAGTCACAGAGAAGTAAGGCTGAAAGGGATCTTAAGAGGGTCCAACCCCCTGCCTAAGGCAGTATCATCTTTATCCAAACCACCCCATACAACCATAATCTAAACTGCATAAGTCTGCCCTCAACCTTGACACAACATAGACCTGCCACAGGTAGGTCACCCTAACCTGCCACAGGTAAAGCAGGGAAACCACAGCAGCCAATGTCCTGCTCCTATAAAATGTCAATATATACTCAAGAGGTTCCAGGTAGAGGCCCACGCCCCCTGCTTCAGAGGAAGGCAAAAACCCCATAGTCCATACCAGTCTGACCATGGGGTAAAATTCCTTCCTGACCCCAGATGTGGTGAGCGGGCAGACCCTGAGCAGGAGGCAAGACCCTCTAGCCTGGAACATCGGGCTTTGCTCTTAGCAGGTGCAGCAAACACCCAGTGCTTCTGGGAAGGCTTAAAAACATCTTGACATGTATAGCAGAAAAAGGGTGGGAGAAGGGGTAGGGCAGGGTGGGAGAAACCAGCAAAGCCCAGAAGCCTGGGAAATACCCATAGTAGAAAATCAGTATAGCTACATCTAGATCATCCCCAACCAGTGGCTGTCCAACCCCTTCTTGAACATCTCCACAACTTCCCTAGGCAGTCCAGTTTCACCATCTCACTGTGAAGACATTTTTCCTGATATATAATCTAAACTTACTTTGCTGCAACTTCAAGCCATTGGTCTATGTCCTCTCTGCAGCAAGAGGGAAAAGGTGCTTTTCCTGTTCTTTGTGGAAACCCCTCAGGTATTGGAAGACCACTATCATGTCCCTGCTTAAGTGCCTTTTTTGCAAGCTGGACATGCCTAAATCCTTCAGCTTCTCTTCATACAACTTGCCTTCCAAGCCTTTGATCCTCTTTGTTGCCTGCCTGTGTACCCTTTCTAACTTGTCCACATCTTTTTTAAAATGTGGAGCCCAGAACTGCACACTGCTCCAGATGAGGCGTAAATAGGGCCGAGTAGAGAGACACTGTCACCCTGGTGTCTGCACCCAATGGAGCCCAAAACCACATTAGCCTTTTGTGTGACTGCATCACACTGCAGACTTGTACCGAGTTTGTGGTCTACTAGGACTCCTCAAGTCCTTTTCCATATTGCCATCCATCAAAGTGTCTCCCATTTTGAATGCATGTTTTTGATTATTCCTCCTGAGGTGCAGCATATTGCATTTGTCTACACTGAACTTCATCCTGTTAGCTCCAGCCCAGTTTTCCAGTCTGTCAAGATCTTTCTGAATTGCATTTACATTTGGTTCACAATTCTTCCCAGTTTCATGTTGTCTGCAAACATGCTCAAGAAGCTTTCCATGCCAGCATCCAAACTGTTAATACACATGTTAAACAGAACAGACAGACCCCTGTGGGACTCCACTTGAAACCTAGCACTCTGCAGACCCATTAATAATTATTCTTTGCTTGTGGCTATTGAGCCAGTTATCTACCCACCTTGTAGTTTTATCCAGCCCACATTTTTCCAATTTATCTCATGCACTGACTACATTTGTTTAGACTCAACTTCTAGTTTTTGCCATTATTCTTAACTAAGTTTCTTCCTCAATGGGCTGACAACAGTGTTCTTCTACAGAAAATTCCAGGGAAAAGTGTCCTGGGAAAATGTCTCTTAAAATAGCCATGAATGAAATAGGGCATTTTTGCAAGTACATGTTCTTCATGAAATCGGCTGAAAAGGGTGTTCCTCACACACTACTGAAGAAGAAACTAAAGGAGAACATTCATCCTTAATTTTTGTTTAAAGAAAAGAGGTTAACAAGCAAAAGAGGGTAGGGGTAGGCTTCATAGAGGTGTGCAAAGGGAGTTGTGGGGTGAGGGGAAACTGGTATGTGGGTGCTTGTGGGGGAACATGGAGGTCACACACCGCATCACCCTTGACTGGTTGAGAGCCACTGCTCTAAGGGAACTGGCCACAACACTCCACCTGCGCTGCACTGCTCCAGCCTGAGAAACTGCAGAAGTGCACTGGTGAATCTAGGCCTAAAAATGAAAGGATGATACTATCCATCTTTACATCATGAAAAATATCCCATGGCAACATTTTTTGGGATTTCATAATGGTCTTTTATGAACATCTAAGCAATTTGGTAAAAACTCCCAGCTAATATCTACAATAACATGGAGGTACGACAGAAAATACGTATCAGTAATTTAAGTATAAAAGCACCATAACTGTCCCAGTGGATCCAAAAGCAAGCGTTATGAACCCAGGAAGTTCATGTAGGTTAAAAAAAGAAAAGAAAGAAAATGAGACTATACACCTACGGTACTAATAAATCTCAATTCTGTCCTCTAGTGACACTAAGAGGAAAAAAACTAAAGCATTTAAATCCCAGTTTAGGATGACATATGTGCTGTGTGTCACTGCAGTTCTACAGTGCTTGCATGGTATTTCTTCAGGGCCAAGTAAAAGTTTTTCAAGTGACTAACTAGATTTCCAAACTTGAACAGATTTGGATATTAGCAGTTTTAACCTATTTCCTGCATTCATAATGATTTTCTGGAGATAACTAAAGAACTAATGATTT